GGGCAGTGATAGCCATGCTAACTATGAAGTGGCGGTGGTATCCATGCTAACTATGTAGGGGCAGTGATAGCCATGCTAACTATGTAGGGGCAGTGATAGCCATGCTAACTATGAAGTGGCGGTGGTATCCATGCTAACTATGTAGGGGCAGTGATAGCCATGCCAGTCCAGGGACTGACTGCAGTTCTACTGTAAGGTTTCTTGGTCAAGATCAATGATAGGTGTACCTGACATGGAACAACCAGACCATGAATATTGCTTCAGGTTAATACACTATATTCTTTAGGCTATGTATGCTTTCAAATAAAAATATCCACCATCACCATAATAATTTTTTTACAACTCAAGTACTGCATATACATATATTCATATACATATATATTAGTGATGTTACGAGATGAGCCGAGGCTTCGAGGCGTGTGTCAAATAATGGAGGGGGCGTTTCCCCGAAGCGCGAGTCGAGGCATGATTCATTTAGAGGAGGGGCCAAAATGGATGACGTCCGAGGCCTCGCTACCGTGAAACCGTGTGACCGCTTAAGGAAGTGGTTCGAGAAGCGCAAGAATCTTGACAGGAATCTGAACAGCCTCAGTGTTCAGTCAAGATGTGGGTGTTTGGAGGAGAGATGCTCTCAGCTGGATAAAGTTTGGATAGATTCTAAGAATAGATTGGTTGGACAAACAACCAATCTAGTTGCTTAAAGCTAATTTGGTCAGAATAAACAATGTAATGATCAGAATTTGAGCAAACCACCGGACAAAGCCAGTGTTAACACTTAAGTGTTAACGAGTATTTTCTCGTAGCTACAGTTGCCTACATAGGTGGCGTCATCCGTAAGACAGGCTGTCACTCTAGAGGTTGATGGTTCAAGACCTGTCTTTGGCTTTCGAAAGCTGCAATTAAACTAAATTGTTTTGGCTGATGAGACTAATTTGCATTGTTTTGCCCGAGTAAAAATATAGATTGGGTAAATTAGGTCGGTTTAGCCAAAAGATTGACACATCTTCCAACCTGATTAAAACCAAAAAACGTGGAAAAACTAACACCTTTCATTTTGCTCATCATTGCCCAATTTGCACAAACACTGTCACTGTCTGCTTATTTCACTAAAATGGCAGAAAAACTGCACCTTAAATGATTGTTCTAAGAAATTTTACACTTAAAACTTACAAAAAAAATTATTATACACACCAACCATTAACAATTTCAAGGGAACTTAAAAGGGGGGAAAAAAGAAAAACATTTGCAAAAAAATCAGATTTTATTACCAACTGTAGTTCTGCTGTCCACCAGTAGGTGGCGACATGTTCACATGAAGCCTCATGAACTGTGGGGATCGTTGAAGCAATTTTGCCAAACGGTTCAATAAGGCTTCATCTCAGCATAACTAATAGATACACACACTGTTAAGAAGCAATAAGATTTTCTGTAATGTTCAGGTTCTAGGATGTGTGTGTCTATATGATCCTTTTGTTTTTTTGAATTGTTTGTTACCTTTGTGGGTGTTTCCTTTTTAGAAGCCATCTTGGAACCTTACTAAGAAGGAGGCCCGCCTCCAACCCAGCTCTCTTATAGAGGGAGCTATGATGGCTGAACTTTGATTGGCTGAGGGTAAATTGAGAAGGCGGGGATACCAGGAAATAGGTGGACTGCTGGCTGTAGATAAGAGGCCTGATGGGAAAGCTGCCATTTTGTTCTAGGTATAACCATGCTGTGATGATAGAGAGCTAATAAATCATCTTCTGTTTTTGCTCCAACCGACTCTGCTGAATGTTTCCTTCCTCGCCTCTCAGTTTAACACAGACATTTATATTAGAGCGGCTCAATTCATTGAGGGATTACATTGATTCATCTATGATTGCTGATTCAGCGATTTAATGAAATATCTGTGAAATGTGTTAAAGCAGCTTCAGGATCACATTCCCTTTGTTTACTGTTTGACTGACCTATTAGTTTATTTATTTATCATTGATGACATTAATGAAGGAAGTGGCCTCAGCAGATCTGAATTCATTTCTAACTTTCTGTTTTATTGCATGTTGAGGCGAGGAAGGTTAGAATTCATGTTCTGCTGACAGATGATGAGTAGAACTTCTTTAATTTCTGTATCTGAATAAAATGAAAGGAAATTATCTCATTTTTATCGAACTTGTTTTAAAATTCCTTTTTTATTCTAACCTGTTCTGATGTTTTCATATTAAATGCAATGAAACACATGAAAACTGCAGCGAACGCCGACCACCTTCACTGCAGAGGAGGACGACCATCCATCCTTCATCCATCC